CACGATACACACACACATAATGTATAGCTTTCTTGCTCTTTCTTTCTCTCCCTCTCTCTCTCTTTATATATATATATATATATTTCTCTGCAGGAGAATTTGAAGTTCTTCCTGAGCTCATAAAGGCCTCCAAGCATCATAAGTGACATAGTTGGTTAACCACCTTCCTTTTTCTCTGACCTAATTGTGTAACTGAAGCCTATTGGCTGGAACTGTTCAGAAATGGGATTCCTGATTTCAAACCACCATATTCTAACTGAAATTCCAACACAGACATGCAAGGGACTAGTAAGCCGAGTGAAAGGAGTCCATAGTTTACCTAACTGCCAGGTCAAACAGGTGTCTTTCTGGAGAAATATTCTTAATTTAGAAACCTGAAGGAACGTAAAAAATAAAATATGGAGGGAGAATTATAGTGGCGAGAGGCAGTAATGAGTCTTCCTGTCTCTCTGATAGGACTGTTATTTCTGTAGCAGAGGTTTCATACCTTTGAAGATGAGGCAGAGTCATTAGGCCCTGAGATGACTCACAGCTAATTAGGATGTGAATAGAGGTTTCTAGAGGTGAAAGTCGTATTAATTAAGCAGATACCGTGTGAGATTTCTGCCCTGCCTTGCTATCTCCTATGGTGTAACAACGTAGTAACCTAAAACCTCCTGGTAACATGATGAAAGAGACCTGGGGCTGTAAAGTTTACTGAGCCGATGGCGCTAAAGTGCTCCTAAATTGATTTTTTAAAAGTCTCTCTTTAGCCATGGCTTGTCTTCTTACGGAAGAGACTTAAAACTGCTCAGGAAAGAGAGGAGTGAATTAAACTAAGAAATGAGAAGAGATGAGGTAATACAGTTTTTATTTTCTCTGTTTCTCTATTTGGTTATGAGAGCCAGTGTGGTATCATTTGTTTGAGGGTTGGACTATGACTCTGGAGATCAGGGTTCAGTTCCCTGCTAAGCACAAAAACTCACTGGGTAGCCTTGGGCAAGTCACACTCTCTCAGCCTCAGAGACTGGTAACGGCAAACCCCTTCTGACGAAACCTGCCAAGAAACCTCTATGCTAGGTTCACCATAAATTGAAAATGACTTGAAGGCACACAACAACACAGTGAAGTGTATAGGAAGTCAGGCCTGTCTCTTCACGTTCATTTACATTATCTTTTGATTTATGAAAGATATACAAAGGATGCATAGATGGTATTTAACACTAGTAAAATTAGTGGAGGTTAGGAGGAGAAGGGACTATGGGGAGGTTAAGTTAGGAGGAAGGATTCAGCATGTACTACCGTGTTCCTTTAAGTAGTGTTGTAGTGGAAATGACGGTTGCATTGCAGATCTAAGCACCTTTTGTTGATTAATATGATCAATATATTGTATTGTGAAGGGTGTCTTCAACTAATGTAGAGTGATTATGACAGGAAGAATGTGTTCTTTTAGAATTATGATTGTCGGGTATAAACTACAAATTCAGTAGAATTCAAAGATATAGCCATGTTAGTCTGTAGAACCAGTATGTAGAGAGATTTTGTAGCACCTATGAGACTAACTGAAAGAAAAAGTTGGGAGCATAGGCTTTCGTAGATTAAAGTCTTCTTCCTCCGATGCAGTTGGCGGAGTGGAAGCCAAGGAGAGACATATATATATATATGGCATTGGTATGTGAGAATGTCAATTCAAATTCAAAATCCTTTGTGTATGGAAATGAAGTGGCAAGTCCATTTTAGCAGTGGCTGTGAACAAAGGCATCGGGAACTAGTCTTGGTATGTGGAAATGAAGTTCCAAGTCCAGTTAAGCATTGGAAAGCTCATTCTGCCAACTACTTTTTTTCAGTTAGTCTCAAAGGTGCTACAAGAGCTCTCTACATACAAACTCCGTGTGCTTTGATACTAACATGGGGGACTGTCACACCAGCCTGGCTCTAGGGGAGATGATTTTAGTGCTCCTTGTATCATGGCTGCCTTATTGTTTCGTTGGTTTTATTGTACTACGGCATTTTAATTTTCTCTATAGTTTAATCTTGTGTTAGGGGATGGGTGGGGGTTTCTGGATGAGGGAATGTTTTTAACTTTGTATGTTTTAAAATGCTGTAAC